CATATTTAGTGCTCTAATATGGAGAGATTATACCACTTCTATCCACCAGAGCTGCAAACAACATTTATTCTTGTCCCTTTGTGCTATAACGCAAACAAATGTACTTCATGTGGTTCACACTTCTTTCTCCACTCATTTTCTCATGGCTTGCTGTGAGTGGAAGACTAGAGCACCTCTAAGTATTCCTAATTTGATAGGGTGGGGTGGTAAAACTCTACTTATTCCCCACATAGAGTGGCCTGGAGGCAAGAAACACAGCTCAAAAGCCGTGCCCACTCATCCATCCCCTAGCTCTCACCCCAAACAGACACTCACCGCGAAACGTTTAGATTCATGTTTCTCAGGTGCAAAAAAGATAGAGAATTTACGCATGTGTCAGCATGTGAAAAGGTCTTACAAGGCTTGAAGGCAAATACAGGCCGGGGCTCTATGGGTTCATGTCAGAGATTAAGCAGAGATGCAGCAGGACCTGTGCGTATCTCAAGTTAAAAGAATGCACAAATGTGTGGGAAATGGAAGGAAGTTTGTCTAAAAGAAAAAAAAAAACCCTCTCAGTTCTTGGACAAAGCTATGGGGCAGAAGTCCACTATTTGAATTCCAGTAAACACAGCAAATTAATCGAGCCAAGATGAAATGTGAATGACTTAAACAGCTAAAACATCATGTTCTCGTTGAATACGGCTGCGATACAGACTGCAGTCAATACAGTCTAAAGGCAAACGCAATCCAAGTGTATCTGAAAGGGTCTTTTGTGTTCTGCAACTCAATAGGGAGCCTCACTTCATTCGCAGGTATACTGTGCTTGTTCAGCCTGGGATAAAATACATTAAGCGAACAGCGTGATAACACAACCTGCACTGTGTTCCCGCCTTGAAATACAATGAAGACATACTGCACACAAACCACCCTCAACGTTAATAAGAGATTAGCAATGCACAAGCCTGATGATTCAGTGTGACCTCAGACACCACAACACAAGAGTGATAAATTCCCAAAGAGGAAAGTGTAGATCACATAATGAAGAGCATGTTTCAGTTAGAATAGGTTATCTATCGGTCAAAGGACGTTCACTGGGTGTGAGGTGATGTGTAGGGCATTTGACTGCACAGTGAAGATTATTAGAGTATGGGTGTTGATCTTTCTGACTCTCACTGATGTCATTAAAGCAGCTTTCCTGACAGTTTTTCTCACCTACATACCTGCCCTCACTCTGACGTGATCTGGTGTGAGAGGCTGTTTCTCTCACCACACTTGGACAACTTCAACACACAATTATGTAATTTGTCTTGTTTTTTTGTTTAACTCAAACTTATCATAAAACCCACATTCTGCATCTGTTCTCTGCAAACAAGGAAGACTTTAATAAAGAGCTTACTCAGAACTTGCAACACCTGTTCCAGACGTGTCCTCTGCTGTCTAGTACCCTCTTTCACAGGTGCACACACACACAAACACTTTGTCCAATTCAGCCTTGCACATGTGTTCTGATGCTGTATCTGATGTTTTTGTCCGCAGCCACAGCAGAAAAGGCTTGCTCGCCACATGACAGAGCCTAGAGACAACTTCAGCGCACAAATCCGTGCTTTGCTTCCAGTCTGTTCTGTCCTATATCAGTCAGGTCAGAGACCTCTAGAGCTCTCAACAAAACTGAGAATCTGCCCCATGCATCAAATACCATGGTAAACTGCCGGTGGACAAAAGGGACACATCGTGTTGCCTCAGCAACGCTGCCTGGACAAAACTGTGTTATTCTGCTCTTAGAACAATCCAGCTGGTGCATTCAGCAAATACTGGGGACTGAACTGCAAGTGAGCTTTCTAAATAATTATGTCTTCTCTCCATATTTGCAAATACCAAATAAAACAACACGTATTCTGTGAACTAGTGGCACATTTTCAGCTATTCACACTCAAACAGCAACAGTAAACAGTTCTCTTTATCGTTTTTACTGCAGCTACATTTTCCCCCTCTCTTTACCACTTGTCTTGTGCACATAACAGCTCTTCAGAGCCACTGCTGCTCTTAGCAGAAAATCGTGGCAGTGGTGTGTCATGTTAGCTGTTCACTGTAGGTGGGCAACCCCAAATCAATGACTTCAAGTACTGTGCTCCCTCCCAGGTTTTTGCTAGTCCATTCCTTTCCCACAGAGCCATGCCACATCCTGCAGGTTGGAACCTCAACCCATCTGGGTTTGGTTAAGCAAAGACAGAAGAGCCATAAAAAACCAGGCCAAGAGCAAAACAGAGGGGCACCTCCTCATTTACAATCATAACGAGTGCTCCCAAAATTGGGTTTTGATGTGGTTTAGAGGAACGTTATACTGGCGAAAGCTGGCAAACTTTAAAAATCACAATTTAGTTCATTAGATCTTAATGTTGACCAATGTTTGCCATACAGACTACAATAAATCAAGAATATTTTGTGACATATTTTACCATTTTTCCCCCTCTTTAACATTTATGGACATCCTCTAGCTCTTATTTTGAAAATTCAGTCACTGTTAAACAGCTAGTCACGACTTGCCCTGTGTTTTGTTACCATACTAGCTTTCTGATCTGTTCAAGCAGTCCTGATATCATTCAGCTGCTCTGAGCACATGAATGAAGACCTGACTGGAAACAAAACAGAATACCAATTTGTTATCTGTTGTCATAAAGTATGTAAATTATTAATAAGTTTAAATGTACGTTCGCCTCCTATCACACATGCACATTTGCAAATGGATGGCTGCAACGCCCTTACTACTGCTATAAATACAATCTAATCTTTGGAAAGTAATGATTATTGTGGCTCCTTGATGTGTTCCATGCCGAATATTTAATTGTATGTAATCTCAGTACTAATCAAATTGAAAACAGCCTAATATTAATGTCAGATATGTACACCATTTAGCCAAGTTTGTGCAGCTCTTTATTCAACTGAAAACAATTATTCTAATTAGCCTCGTGTGACAAGCGAGGCTCTATATTTAGTGGCACTTGATATTTCAAGCTCCAGACCCTTATTGTCCCCTATACTTTTGATCCTCCACTCAGAAGAGGGATGAAAACACAAAGAGTGACATCCAGAGAGAACACTAAACGGAGGGAGGACATCCGCCACTTCACTTGTCTCTTCCTCATCATCTACGTTTCTTTCCATGTCATCCTCCTCCTCCATTGAGTGCCTCACAAACGAGCCTCAATATGAAGAGCACATTAGGGCCACTGCAAGATTTAAAAGCTATGTTCAGACAGATTTTGTTAGCCAGTGGTTTTATTTTATTCCAGTAAAAACAGTGGAAATAGACAGAATTTAAGGTTGCTCACGTGCTGTTGTGTGCATGTATCTCAAGAGTTGTCAACTATATTGTACATGATATATCGCTGTTTCTATGGGGGGAAAAATGTATTCCCTAACTGGATAGTATAGCAGTTCCTGAGGGTTGGTGGCTGTTGCTGGGTAAAAATGTATGCACAAATCTTCTAGTGATTCCTTTGGCTGCTAGCAGATTGCCAGCAGTTTTTCACGTTTGTCTGCAAATACTTGCTAACTACTAGCTGAGTGGTAGTTAAACTTGAAAAAGTGCGAGAAGAAGCTTCGCTTTAGCCAAATGTTTGTTTTTTTTAATTGGTGCAACTCTTACTTTGAAGCAAAACAAGTCCGTCAATGCCATTCAACCTACAACCCAGCATTAAGCTAGCAATTGTCATGTGTCTGCAAGACTTCAACTGTGAGAATGCAATAACTGTAAAAGGACTTAATATGAGGAGAAAAAAAAAAAAAAAGAAAAAAGAATGCCACACTGCACCCCAGCACCTGTTCCCTTTATTACATCAAACCTCACACTAGCTTTTCTACTAAAATACCACAATGTGAAAGGGTCAAAGTCAATAAAACAAATACCGTTTCATCTACTTCTGATTTCACCTCATTTCAAAACACATCCTACGCTTAAAAAAGGCTGTTGAACACTGCTAGGGTCAATCAATATTCAGCATGCCTACATCTTACAGTGCCAATAAAACCGACAAACTAAATTCCTGAACCAAGTCGACTACAAAACTCAAGCTCAGACAGAAAGTCTACAGACTAATTTTATAATTACTGCATAGATTTTAGTCTACTGACTAAATATAACTCGGTGATTTAATATGTCAGTCAATGAGTGGTTTTTCCAGTCTTTCCTTTAAGAACAGGAAGTAACCACGGGACACCTGCACATCAAGTGCACAGTGTAGTAACCACTTAAATAAACACACAAAGCTAGGTACATAACTTTGAATGTCAACACCACACATTCATTCCTTTTCACACTACTGTATAAGCAGGCTTAGTGTTTAGCACGTTCACTAAATGCGTGGTTGTATGGAACAAAGGACTGGTGCTAACCATGTGTAGGCTGCCTCATCAATCTCACATTTTCAGCACTTGCATCAAAGTTTTTCTTTGGTTTTAAAACAACTAATTTTGCACAGAAATCATGTAACTAGCGTTTCTTCTCAGATAAACTAAACTTGCAACTAACAATGAAAAAAATGATCACACTTTATTATCATCTTACAATAAATGCAACTTTATTACAGTAACAATAGCCACTGTAAATTATTAAATAGTAGCAAAAGCCTCTGGTTTAACTCAAGTGAAAAGAGAGCAGTCCTTTGATGTGAAGCAGGAAAAAGAAAGAAGTGAAAGTTTTAACGTCTGTTCCCCTTATGCGTCAAACTGCAGATGGTGTTGTTTGTTAGAAGTCAAAGAGAGGGGGAAAAAAACTTCCCTTTTATTTATATGCTGCAAATTTTCAATGTCATAGTAGCAGCAATGAGGTGAATAAGGCTGTGTAAATGAGCAGATCATGGTGCATTATAACACAGATACACTGTACAGTATGCTGCTGCTTGTTTGAACCATGCTGTGGTTGTTTAGACTGTGCCACCAGCTATTAACGGTCACAGACAAGCTTCAGAATATGAACAAAACGGGCAACAAAATAATCATCAGCTGACAGGAAGGAAGCTCACCATTTCATCCAGAGCATAGCGAAGTAAGCCGTGCTCGTAGAGGATAAAGAACCTCCTCTGCCATTTCTGTAACAAGAAAAAAAGAACAACAACAAACAAATCTGTCATTATGGACATGATCACACAAAAGATATCAACAGCAAACCATAGTCATTTTATATATAAAAAAAGTTTAAAAAAAAGAAGCCTCACAAGAAGATGTGCCAGTATTTATCATATCAATCATTACACATTTGATAACTCTGGGCATGAGAGTCAAACACAGACTTGCGGAAGGCCAATAGATTTCTAAAGCCTGAGATTATTTTGCTGGATCTAGAAACTCCAGTGAAAAGCTTGAACACACACCTTAGGGTATAAAGACCTCCAATACAACACACACACACACACACACACACACACACACACACACACACACACACACACACACACACACACACACACTTAAAAGGAAGTGCAATCAAGTTTTTGGAAACAGTTGCTATACAGCAGTAAGCAAGTAATGCTGGCACACTTTCCTCTTACGGGACATCACAAGGCTTTCAAGCTGTGACAAGCTGGACAACATTTTTATCAGCATGCATCAGCTGCATTCGGTCATTAAGATTTCAGGTTGTTTTCCTTTTCTTTACAACTACTTGAGGAAAGAAGGCCTTCATATATAAAGTGTGGGTGTTATCACAACAAGAGCTAAGTGGATACAGACGTTCATAAGAGAAGACGAGATTACACTGCTGATTAAACTGTAGGATATATATGGAAAGGCATGCAACTGTGAAGCGCAGTATCATTATGTACCAGGTTAATG